CAGGAAGAAACACTCTGGGAACCAGCTGCTCACCGGGAAATCAAATACACTAGGCAACTGTAGCTGCTCAAGCCACTCTGTTAAGATGTCTTTCCACTTGCCTTGCCAGTCACAATGATGAGTATGAATATAGAACTTAAACTAAACTGCTCAAAGTTTTCACTTCAGTCTTGTTTCGCGTAACCAGAAGAAATACATCCTCCTCAATGTTCATACAGAAATACTTAACGTGACAGATTTGCACAGTTTCTGTACCCATACATTTTGGCATCTCAAGAACCGATTCAAGTTAATGAGTTTCATCTAGTAATGAGAAAGCTGTAAATAAAATGAGACAAAATCATGTTACAACAAAATGCAGAATTAAGATCTGAATAAAATATGCCTGGATGCAATCAGCAGTCAATTAGAATGACAAATTCTGCATGGTTTCAAATTAAAGAATTTTAATGGAGTCTTGAAGCTTAGATACAGAAATACAGTTGCAGACAGCCAAGGGTTCAGTTCCAAGTGTCCAGGATTTCCAGGTAACGCTACCAATATCTAAGTTTCTAAGGCTGTAATTGAGAAGGTGAAGTTTGCTTAAAGCTTTTTCTTTTTTTGCTTTTCTTTTCTTTTTTTTTTTTTTTTAATGAGGATAAAATTTTCCCAAAGTTCTTTTACCTTTAACTTTTTATTTTCAAGCTATGTTTTACTTCAGGTGAATGTCTGTCTTTGGTTTTTATCCTACTAGTACATCAAAAAAAAGTGGGAAAAATAACATGTGAACACATTACAGTTGTTTCTCCTGACTATGCTTACTAGTCAGGTGAGAAGTCTGGAGTCTGTTTGCATACAAATGGAGCACTTTGGAACGTGAGATCCATTCTTCTCACACACGCCATAATTAGCTGTCAGTTTCACCATGGACATTTTCCATGTGCACTTTGAGGTAGTCATTTCTTGTAAACTTCTTGTGGCAAAGCTGGCATTCTGCCATCGGTCGATTGGGGTTGTGAGTCAGCTTGTGTCGGATCAGCATTTTCTTCAGGCTGAAGGACAGATCACAAACCTAAGGCAGTGAAGACAAAGACAAAAGAAGTCTTAAAACTGCAAGCGTGTATAAAGCTCCTGATGTTACATCACTGAGGCCACAGCCACACATACCTGCAATATTAATAAACGAGCTGGTCTTTGGAAGAATAACTCCTTCAGAGAACACCTTAAAGATTATTACTCTGTCTGGTATCTTTCAATGTCGTACATTAGCAGTGGTACCACAGGCACGGGGAGGGGGCAGAGAGGGAGGGAAGGGAAAAAAGACCCAATCTTCAAAATATCAACACACTGAAGTGTCCCAGTTACATTGTGTTTTGTTTTGTTTTTTTCTAAAACCTATTATTGTATCTGGGATGCAGCAAGAATTATGACAAAACATCACAAGCCTCTGTCAATTTGACTTCAAATGAAATTTTTCCTTCCTGACCTCCAGAATGACATCTGCAGATGCCTAAAAAATCAGTTCAAATTGCTCAGTTACAAGGAGGGACGAGTGAGAAAAAAGAGGCTCTGAAGACTGCAAAAAAGGTTAATAATTATTATAGAAGAAACCTCATTGTTCCAGTCTTCCTCTGCCTGTCCAAGAAAACAGAAGACATCTGGCAAATGAAAGGTGCAATTCCTTTGCTATATTATCTGGTGCACTGCTTCCCTTCCTCCACTGTACTCCAAGTAGTCCAGTTCACTCTGCCATTTGAATAAATGGATAGAAGGATGAGGGACTCTGCCATGCTAAAACCATCACTTCTTATAAGAATTCCTGTACTGAAGTCAAAATGACAGGTTATGAACAAGTTCAGCCAAGAGAAGTTAGAATGAAAAGAATCTGTAGGCAAGACATCAAGTCAATTGAAATCATGCAGTTATATTGTCACAGTCACCTTCCATCCAGATACATATTGTATGCATGAATTTCCCAGAGGGGAAAAAAAAAAAAAAAAAGAAAGCATGCTCCTGATTTGACAAATTAAATAGGCAAGAGTCATATAATTAAATAAGAATGAACATCCATAGGCTTGCAATCTTAGAATTCCAGGTTCATTCCAGACAAAAATATCTTCCAGGCAGACGAAACTCAGGGAACCCAACACAATCCCTCTTAAGGTAAATGAAGTTTTAAATTCATATTGGTATCAAACTAGTAATGAAAATGCTGAACGATTACTAACTCCTTTCAAAACCAAGACAGACAAATAGAGCTGTCTATCCAAGCAGATAATCTTGACCTGCAGTACATGTATTTTATGCCAATTAGGGCAAAACCATACAATGACCATAAAAAGGGCAACTGCCAGACGCAAGTTTTGTACCCAAAATAATTTTTGCCCAGACAAGAACACTACATGTGCTGTTGCAATGGAACATTTTTGAATTTATGACATGATGTAATACCGAGGACTTTTATACAGCAACTGTAACTCTCCCAACTTTTTTCCCTAAATGTATAATTACCTCTTTCAGACCCAAGCAACAGTCACCCTTTTGTTATGCGACAGTGAACGTCACTTACAGCATCCACTGGTCAGGTCTTAATATTGCTTTTGCCAAGCACCATTTTCTATTCCTCTTCCACAAAACACACACCGTGAACTCATAACATTTATCTAATCATAACCATCATGCTTGCTCACAAGTCTCAACATGTTAAAAGTATCATATACTTGTAAACACAACATGTTTCTTGGAAGCCAGGAAGCCGACCAAGGATATACACACATACAAGATACGGATGTGTTCTGTGTATCTTACACATGCCTCTTCATTTTTAAAGTAAACAGCTTATAACACAGTCTTACAGTATATTTTTTTCATTTATAATGCTCACGTAACAACTAGTATAATGTGTCCTGCTGTTCCTTCAAGGCTCTAGCATGTGCTACTACCTAACTTCTTCAAAAAGAACATGGAATGCACAGGATCATTACTTAAAGACATGATACATCCTGTGCTGTGCTTATGCATAAATGTTTTTGGGTTTTTTTAAGAGTTTGCTTCATATTTCAATTTTATAAGCAAGACTGACATTTTATAGATTTACAACCATGCTTGCTAATGTGCATTTGAACTCTAATCAATCTCTTCAAAATGATCAAAGTTTTGATTGAGTAGGGAGGACGGAAAAGACTGACATTTGAAAGTAAGTGTAGGGTCAACTAAAGGCAGAGTGGAGGGAAATACTGTACTGGAAAGAAACCAGGACAGGCAGTACCTGACCTTGCTGCCCCCCAAAGAATAATCTGTTGTCTCTGAGGCAACTGAAGTTCAAGTGGCCTTCCAGTAAAAAACAGGCTGGTCTTCAGAAGACAGAACTCTAATATACTAGGAAAAAAACCACATTTTCTATTTCCATATTTCAGTTATTTTCACTTTCCTATGTGATATATACTAGAATTTTCACCTTAAAATGGGAACATTCAATTTCCACTACTATCAGTGGGATGTGAGAGCTTTGAGTCATTAAGTTCTGAAAATCTTTTGTTGACTGGTAAGACATAGAAATAGCCACATAAGTAAACTGTAGCACCTTCATCAAACAGGGTACAAGGATTACTTTTACATGTAGCACAATCCTGTACTGTAACATCTGTTCCATCTGCCTGAGAGAGAGGAGAGTGAGAGAGGAAGAGAAAACATGGCTTTTAGTTCTGATTCTGGAAGAAAATTCTATTTAAAGCAAAAATGCAGTCTAAAAAATTGGTATGTAATAGTTTACATCGGGTGGGGAGAGGTGCATTGTCAAGTGAAGCCTATTCTTGAGCCCATAAAATACACCTTTTTTTTTTTCAATAGCCAAAAGTTTTTTCTGCAGTTCTTTGGCACTGAAGGCAATTCCTGTTTGTAAATGCTAATGGTACTAAGAAACAAAGAAAATTCTGACAGCAAACGTTAATATGTTATTTAGAAGAAAGAGCTGAATAGTTTCTATGACTGCTTCTAATGCCAGGTAGAAAACAAGACCAAAACCCTCAATCGTCTTAAGACTTTTGTCTTTCAGTGTGGTTTCATGTATGATTTCATTTATGAATGTGCTAATCACTGAAAAAACAGCCTGTTTTTCACCTTTAAAGGATTCTTAGTAGGTCTGGGCATTGGACTTACGGACTTTTCCAATTACATGCCAATAGTATGCCTTCACCCCCTAAAACTTGCAGTGGAAATGGGGAAAAAATAATCCAGAAAATAGTAACAAAAACGATTATGAACATGGGAAGTCGTCATGCAAAGTGTTGGAAAGAGAAACCACTTCAGAGAAGTTGACTAAGGAACATGGCACATGTTCAGAAAGCAATGAATAGAATAGCTATTAACCCTTTCTGATAATGAAAGAACTAAAAGACAGCTATTGAAATTCCATTGCAGTAACCTGACACACTCTCCCCTCCCCAAAATCTCTTTCCACAGTTAAGTATTTGTGGAAGTTGTTGCCATAAATTACCACTCCAGTCATTATAAGAAACATAATGAGAACATCTACAGCTATCTTTAGCAGGACAAAAAATTGTAGGTGAGAATGCTTGAGTGTAAAAAGCAATCTTTAGTATTGGGGAGCCAACAATAAATGTCTCCCATAGGTACATTTTTTCTGTAACTGTCCACTACTGGTTTTCCTGTAACTTCAGCTGAAACATCTGGTAACATGCAATGTGCGAGACAGCTCTGGAGGAATGATCCACTCTGGGTGACATTTACTATGTCCCCAGCATCTGCAGAAGTGGAGTCTAGATGAAATAAGGAGTAACTATAGAAAATAAAACTTTCAACACTCTCCAAGTGTGCATTAAGCAGCAGACCACGGTAGGCACCGGGGCAACTAAAGAGTGTATGAATGAATAGTAGAGGCAACTGCTGTTTATGTCCAAACCCCGAAAAGACAGCAATCTCTGCAATGTGCAGCTGGCAAAAGACTAGTGCTGAAGCATAATTTTGGTGAAATGTGGCAGTAATTTAAAGTATAGAAAACTCCTCCAGTAAATGAAGGTACATAAAGATTCTCAGAGAAAGACTAGGACTAGACACAGATTACAGCTGATTCTACAAATACTAAGATTTGGGAAAATGCAGCTCTATCTAATTAATGAGGAAAACTGAAGGAATAGTTGAAGCAGGAAAGTGTGTTTTCATACAGCTCCTATTTTCAATGAAGGAAAGAAAAAAGAATAAAATATAGCTACCACCCCAAATTGGTCTGAAGAAGCACACTGTGAATCCAAGACCAGCAAATCCTGGATCCACAGTGTGGGAAAAATTGCATTTACACTGCAAGCTAGCCAACAGCTGATAAACAGTATAGCAATCTGAAAAAGTTATTGACGGTGATTTGGAATTAGAGAAATCCTCAAGGTACTATCTAGAGCCAGGCTGAGATTATCCCAAAAGAATACAGCAAATCTCCTGACTTGTAGACATCAGCAAAACATTGTAGCTGAAATTTTTCACTAAATTAATACATTTTATTCTCAATGAAGTGTCACCCGATTATTTATTAAAAGCCAGATCAACCAACAGAACCTTGTGACTTTCATGCCAAGTGGTTATTCTAATTTTGCATCTAATTTTAGAAATTTGTGAACAAATTTACAATTGTTCAGGCTGAGCCATCTAGGATATAACTGAAAGCTGGCGGTTCCCTTGTGACTAGTTCATTAAGAGCTAGTATCACAAAACAAAACACCTATACTAATTCTATACCCTATTCTGATGCCCTTCTCTAAATCTTCGAGCAACAACTTAAATTCTGGCGTTTGATAATTCTGAAAGACATTATTTTCCAACAGTTTCTGCACATTCAGCCTCCCCACCTACCTTCCAAAAGCTGAGAGATACGTTGTATGCAGGATGGGGTATGCTGAATGAAAGGTACTTGACAGTGATCTATGAACTGTAATATGATATGCTGCATTTCAGCGCTGCAAGCATACACAGCATCCACAATTTCTTCATTGGACAATTAAAAAAAACAAACAACTATGAGCAGATGTTGAAAATACCAGACCAGACTTCACTAAACAGAAATTGGAAATTCTGAATTCATATTCGTGTCATTCAACATCATCAGAAGCATTCGGATGCCATGTAATGAATTAAATGCCGGTGTATGAATGCCTTTTCCTATATAAGCTAATCTCCAACTATTAAACTGTCATACAATTTACACGGGAACCCAACCAGCATGACTTTGTAACTTGCAACATCCAAATTGCATTAATAATGGTGAAAATAACTCTTAAGGGATCCAAAACCATAAACAACAGGGTGTGCAAGGTTCTTGGCAACTGAAGAGGGTACATAAAGTTCCCTGAATGGTCTTTCATTAGTTAGGCAATCAAAGACCATATGAAGTGTAACTTTTATGCCACAGCCAATAGGTGCAAGGCCGTAGCCTCACTGCAATTGAGTCCTGCTGCTGCACTGAAGTCAAGAAGACAAAGGGATAGGTCAACTCACATCACACTGAAACGGCTTCTCTCCGGTGTGGGTTCTCATGTGCTCATCTAGGCCTCGCTTTTGACTGAAAGCCTTGTTACACTCTGAACATTGGTACGGCTTTTCCTGTATGAAATGACAACAGTGAGTGAAAGTGAGTGAAAGTGAGTCAACACAGAGCCCAAGTCATTAAAGGAGTGGAATTCCATGCTGGATGGTGCAAGTTTTATATTCTCTCTAAGGGATTACAGTCAGTGAAAACAACAGAAAACAACTTTCAAATGATTAAGTGAAAGCTGGGAAAGCTGTGGCCTGACAGTTTCCACTTCAACACCCACTTACGAATTAATTATCTGTTCCAGTCTTTCAAACCCAGCCATTTTGGGAGTCTGTTTTTCGTAATGTGAAAGGTACAGAAACATAAAACTCCAACGTACTTTCCTTTATCCTCCACAAAAGCTTAAAGCATAAAGACAAGTAAGATGTCTATAAAAACCTCAGGTTTGTTAGCACATTTCCAAGCAGGGGAAGGGGTGAGGGGAGGAAGTGGGGGTACAAGGAAAGCTTGTGGTAGAGAAAAAACTTATTTTGAAAAGTGGTGACAGAAGGTTAATCACATATTCATTGCAGAATCTCAAAAGAAGTACAGATGGCAACCAAGCCATCTGTATTTTTATTAGAACTATTGGTTAGCAGCTACTGTAATGCATGATGTTATGAAAGTTGCAAGCTCACTGACATCAAATAAATAATTTGAGATATGTATGGAAAACCACTTATATAAATTTTTTCTTCTTTGAAGTTCTTCCTTAATATAGAAACTTTTATATAAGGTATAATTCCTCCTTTATTCCACTAAAGTTACAGAAGAACCATATGGAAAACAACATTTAAATAAATTAATTAAGTGTAAAAGTTAGTATTATGGCACTGCACATTGCCTCACTAGAATTTTGATGATCTAGAGGCACCTTTATTTTGAATCAAACAATTATACTTATTTCACACTCATCCTACTTTTTTCTGTGGTCCCTAATTCTGTATTGCTTAAGTTCTAAAGATAGGTATTTCAAGCAACGAAGTAAACATTTTTTACTAAATTAAATTGAAAACAAAGACTGAGAATCAAAAGGCAATAAAAATGCTAAGTCCATTAATTAACAAATAATAGGCAGTAATCTTAACGGTCTTTTGGGAAAGAATGTGGGATCCAAGGATAAGTGAGAAGGAACAACTCAGGTTAGGTGTTGAAGCTACAAAGTGAAAAAATTCTTTAGTTATTGAATTCCTATTCTGAGTATGTAGGGGACAATCAGGTCTCCATATATTGCTGAACCCTGCCAGGTACTCAGCATAAACCGTACAAGTAATACAGTGGACTATAAACCAGTCTTGTTCTGGGTAAGTCCCAAGCTCACTCTTTAGGGCAGCTCTTTGCAGGTACAGAGATCTCAGCGGGGGTGAAGACTGGGTTCTTCATTTTGCTCTAGTTGCGACAGACTACTCCGATAAGGTTTCCAAGAAAAGGCAGCATCACAGACAGAAACATCTCAACTTTCAGTGGCAGGAATCCTCTAGCTCACCAAAACCAGGTCATAAGCTGTGTACATAGGTAAAAGCATTTCTCCAGCAATTTCAATTTCAGATATGAGTAAATCATGACATAAATAAAGTACATTTCAGTATTATGCAAGACAAATCTTTCTACTGACACAGGCTGAGTACACAGTGCCCAGCTGCCTATAGTCAAACTGGCCTAAAGGGAAGCCACTAATGAGCTTTTCTGTGCAAGATTCTCCTTACATGTTTATCATCTTTGTGTTTCTTCATCATTATCTGAATTTTGTAATTTCCATCATTCTTCAGTACAGAGTAAAACATAACAAATTACCTAAAGAAGATCTGAGCCGACCTTTAAAAAAAAAAAAAAGAAAGATCACCATCTAGACCAAAAACTTCATGTCTTGGGGAATTTTGCTAGACTGACTAAAGACTTCATGGAGCAGGTCTGTAATTTTTAAGGAAATGTACGAATAAGCCATATGAAAAGCAGGTTTCTGCAACACCCCCTTAATTGGTTTTGCATTGTGGTTAACATAAACTATATTTTCTGTGAGTTCTCTGAAAATAGCCCTTCTCTGTGTAGGTTGTTCTACAGAAAGTGCAAAGTAAAGTATATGATGTGTACATCTTAAACACCTATGAAAACATTCATTATTGCAAACTGTACCAGGGGTACTTGCTCCCTTTTTATCATCTTGTTCTTCAGGTATCTGAAGAGTTAACTTGATTATGACTATCTTATTCATTTCAGAGTTAAATGGACTTCAGGATTCCATTTTGGAGAAAGAGCCATTATAAACTCTGGGAAGCTGAAGGCACAAACCTGGGCTGTAATATCTTCCCCAAGGTTATGTTTGGCTATTTGTATTATTCTCTATGTCAAAAGAAAGGGTACATCTAACCATACCCTTGGCATTTGTATGCAAATTCACATATGTAGTGCATGAAATGCATCCAAAGCTGTCTTTGATCTAATTTTAGATTCCTTACATCTGTATATTCCAGTGACTTCAGCAGACACAATTCTGATTCACACAGCCCCCTCTCCGCTCTCTCCGCTAAGCTAAGCTGCCCTTCATTCACAGTTGTGTCCGTTTCAGTAAAATCGGTAGTGTTGTCCAGAGCAAAACTTGGCCCTAAGTTTCTCTCCAGAAAAAAAAAAGACTTTTTTTTGTCAGTTTCGAAGACCACTTCATTCTCAGAGACTCATTTCTTCAAAACAAAACATTCTGTGCTTTTCCTTTTCTCTCTCCCCCTTCTTCCCCTCATATCAAATTTCCATTGCACAATACTTGGAGAAGGCAACATTTGTAACATGGAAAAGATGATGTTGGCTTGGCATAACCACCACTGCTCTAAACGTGAACAGAAAAAAAAAAATAGATAAAAACCACAGCAAGAAGTCTGAAAGAAAGCTAATGCCACCACAAAAGGACAACAGGGACCAACGATGAGATTAGAAGGAAGTTGGACAAAGTTAAAACGTCAAGCAAAGGGAAAAACCTGCTAACTGTCAACAAAACGGGAGGTCATTGGGAAGATCATCTAAGTCTGACTTCAGAGGAGTTAGCAACTGCTAGTACTATAAATCTACCCTCTGTTCAAAAAGCATCTGCCAGGCCATGACTATGGTGGCAGCAAAGCCAAAGGATTACATGTGTTTTCTTTTATTGATGATATAAATGAGGAAAGGAGCAGGGAGAGTGAGAGAGACAGGATGCAGCTGATACTGCAGTGATTTAATATTACATTTTTAAGTATACCAGGCATAAATAGAAATATGTAGATCAGGATTTACAACCTTCCTGCCTCTAAACAAAGAAAGGCCGAGGAGAGCCCAAATGGGACCCGGTATTCTGGAAGGTGCTTTGCTGTAAGACTGGTATGCTAACTTAGAAGCTCCCATCTCTGATGATTTTCACTTCACTGCGTTAAAACTGAGAGGAATCCAACATTTTAACAACTATGACAAATAAAACAGTGCCTGCAATACACACTTCATCTGTCTGTGGATAGCTGAATCATAAATTACTACCCTGGATTCTATGCAAATTGTGCTTTGCATTAGAAAGACATCAGAACACGACAAATTCTCAAGGCCATTTGACACCACCTTTAACAGATTGATAGAACATGTGTACAGAGTATCCTGCAACCACGGCAGATGGAAATACTTAAATGCAGAACATTTGAACTGCTAACTGCTGCTGTAGTTGACTGTATCTCCCTTAAGAAATAGAAATACATTATGTATATTAGCTTAGCACTAGTGCATGTCGTTGTTTCTGTAATCCTGGTAAAATTGATTCCACAGGTAAAACAGGAATGACTTTGGTAGGAGTATCTCCAAATAACTTTTTAAATTTGAATTTAGAACGTGAGCTCAACAGCAGGAAGAACGTAATCTAGACACTATATCCAAAAAAATCATAGCTCAAGATTCAAATAAATGAGAGTTAAGAACAGTTCTAGTAACTCTTTCCAAGGTGGCAGGAGCAAGTTAAAACTGGGCTGAACCCACACTCAGGAGACCTTATTCTTTACTTTTTTGGTTAAAGTAACTTCCTACAGTGATTGCAGATTTATACTACTCAGAAAGTGAACCTGTTGACTACAGAAATGTTACTCAATAATCCTTTTTAACACCTACGTTTTAATTGACATACAGAATATACTTTAAATCCCAGAGCTATCTAGGATCTAATCCCTCTTATGCTCATTTTTTAATATCCTACTGAATTCAGCAGATTTACTTCTGATTTACTTCAGAATTTCACATATTGCACATTTCTCCTTGTAGACCATATTCATACATCTAAGCACACTTTAGAATTACTAGCATCTCGGGGTAAGACATACTGACCATGTTAAGTTTCACACGACTATCAACTTGCTGGATCTGCATTTTCTACATGCTGAAAACTGAACATTCAGAGAAGTTCAGAGAAACAAGGAAAAGCATATCAGATCTTATATTACTTGTAAACATTTAAACATAATATTATATGTAAACATTTACACTTGTGACACAAGTGTGAAAATGGCCAGACATGAATAATGGTGATGATACAGGACACCAAAAAAAAAAAAAACCCAAACAAAAAACCCACACCTTTTTTCTTCTCTGGAGACATATGAAATTCAGATCTGTATAACAGACAATCTGGAGACAAATATGACATATTTTGGAAAAATGAACAGTAAGGCCCAGTACACACATGAAGATTCTTGGTAAAGCCTGAAAAGGTCTCAACCTAAACTCCTTGGGAAACAGTGGGTATGGAACTTTTTTGGGCGAGATTTATTCTCACAACAGGAAACACAGAGCTAAAGAAAAATATCAGCTTGTGTTTTCGATAGCAAAATATTTTTAAATATGTAGGTCATCCTTTAGTTCACCTAATTTTTTTTCTTCCTGTTTTTAATTGCTTTCATTATTCTGAAACAAAGAGCTTTCCTTTGCTCCCGAAGATTAAGTCTTATAATGCCTACCCATGAGATGTAGATACAGTAACACTATCTGCTTTCAAACCTTATGTGGAGAATTTGAAAATATTTGTATT